AGACAAAATCAATTCTTATCACATAAATAATAATATATCAATATTTTATCTACATTGTTTTGTACATCTGAATGGATTATACAAGAGGAAATAGCCTTCCTCTTTCCTTAAATCTTTCTCTGCCCGACTTAGGGTTCGAATATGAGATCTCTAATTTAGTATCTCAAGTTCTTAATTATTGAGTCACCTCATTAAAGTTATACTTTATCTACATAACAATACATAAATGATACATAAACAAGTATTAAGTTTATCATAAAAAAGAATTAGATTACTTAAATTAAAAAATTTAAAAAGTTATTTAGTTTAATAAAAGATTTAAAAAGTGAAAAGAATAGTATTTATCTACCTTATCTCCTAAATATTAAAAAGAATATTATTTTAGAAATACGTTATTTTAATAAATACATATAAAAAAACTAAAATATATTATTTTTAAAACATAAATTGAGATATTTTTTATTTTTTTCTCATAATTTTTTAAAAATAAGATGAATAACCACTAATTTCAAAAATTAATTACAAACCTGAAATAAATTCAAAATTTTAAGATCAGTTTCGCCAAAGAAGCTTCGGGGGTATTTTAGAAACATAGTGATAATCTATCACAAAGGTAGACGTCCCATTGTTCACCGGTCACATAATAATAAGAAAAAGTTGTTAGCATTTGCTTTTGGGAAATTCGCCCGTTCAGATAAAGTTATTTATGTGGTCAAAAATAAATTTTACACATTTCGTACAATATGCCCAAACCACATCATCTACAGAGTTAGACCCAAGAAAAAAAGGACAGGAGAACAGGAATTATTTGCAAGATCTGAGGCTGATGATGAGCTTTTGGGGTGGACATTGCACTATCCGTAAGTAGGAAATGACATGGACTCCTGCCATCACTCATTTCAGGTGAAGACGTTTCATTCTTTTTTTTTTGGGTGCACAAGACTTTTCATTCTTCAGTCTTCTCCTTTCAATCCTCTCCAATCTCCCATCAACAATAATTTGCAACCCTCCTTTTCTTTGCCTCTCTCTGGAAACATCATTTCTTATTCTTTCTATTCTTTTCCCTTTTTGTTTTTTTTCCATTAAGTTGTTATTTAACAGCTTAAACATAAGAAATTTAAGAATTATTTAGTTTAACATTTTGAAATTAACGACTAATAATTTTATCTAATTTAGTGATGGACAATAATAATTATTATTAATTTAAATACTTTGATTGATTAAATTAAATAAAAGGTCAAATCTTCAATTTAGTCCTTAAACCATTGTACCAACCTCCAATTTGGTTTTTGAACTAAAAAAATTCTTGATTTGATTCTTGAACTATTGTATGGATCTCTGATTTGATCTTACTATTTACCAATTTACTTCAAGTTGGTCTTTCCGCACAAAAAATAATTGACGTGTCTCATTATTAACTAACAAGTGATCGTTAAATTATTATTTTTTACTGTTAAGTAATGAATACGTTAATTATTTTTTGTACGAAAAAATCAACTTGAGATTAAATTAGTAAATAGTATGGACCAAATCTGGGTTTATATAATAGTTTAAAGATCAAATGAAAGATTTTTTTAGTTTAGGAGCTAAATTGAAATTTTAACCTAAATAAAATTACTAATTGTTATTTCAAACTAATGGTGAAAAGTGTTTGTTCCTTTTACTTTGCATTTCCCCTCCTTTTTTCCTTTTTTTCTCATTCTCATAAACAACACTAAAAACATTAAAAAAATGAGGTGGTCGGCGCAGTTCTAATGGAGATTCTAATGTTTGTCGCACTTGCTTTTGACCACTTAAAAACTGAAGTTTAAAACGAATCTAGGTCCCCCGTACGCATATATTATATTGCCAAACAAAAGTTAAAGAAGGAAGCTATGATTTTCCTTTTTTCTCTAACACCATGAAATGTTCCCCAACCTAATCATTTTTTTCACTTATGTTAATGCCACTATCTAGGACCCTCCACAAGACCATAAATATCTATACATATATCAAATTTATACATAAACACATTCAAAATTTTTGAGTGATTAAATTTTATAATAAGGTAAAATAAAATCTTATGTTCTGTTATATGTCAAATCAAATGTATTATTATAAAAAAAAATTAAAAAAGCTTTAAGTTTATTTAAATTAATTAAGAGTTAGTCATCATAAGATCAAAATTTGATAACAATGATTGCTTCGTTAACTAAGAAGGAGAAAACTCTCCAACCAATCCTTCTTGGTCTTTGGGTGCTTGGTGACTTTGATTTACCTCAACCGTACACGGTGTAGTGCCATATAGGCCACAAGCCGATACCCCACCAACATCAAGGCCATGATCAACACATCAACCCACAAATGATTCAGACCCATCGATTTGATCGCTGGAAAATCCCCAACCCTGCACGGACCCCCGTTGGAGCACTCGTAGTAATCATCCTCGCTGTACTGAACACCGAGGAGAAGCTTGTAGCAGTAGTAGCTGTAACTCAAGTATTTCAACCAGACAATGAATGGTGGAATTTGCTGCACATAGTATCCTCCGGCTATGAGAAAGACCAACGTCGTGACGGATGCTAATGTAGTGGCTTGCTTTATGTCCATGAGGATAGCTCCAAAGGCTAATCCGAGACTCTGAGACACAAGGACATTGTAGAGGACGACGAGAAGGGAGAGGATGAATGTGACAGGGTCGGGTTTAAGCCCTCCCATCCAGTAAATTATGAAGACAAAAGCAGTTGGAAGTGCAAGTTCAAGGGGAAGATCCCCGACTGTTCTAGCCAAGAAGTACGATGAAAGGCGGTACATTCCGGCAGATCTTTCCTTAATAAGCATTGTTCTTTCTTGAGGAAATGTGAAGACCGCGTTGTATAGTGGGTAGAAACCCCAGAACACCGAGAAGAAGAAGATCAATGCAATCTGTGTTTGGAAAACAGAGCTTATTCAGCATATCCAGGACAAAATCATGGGTAATGATATTGATAAATTCTAAGAAAGAAATAAGGATACTTACGCGGTCTGCAATGTGAGAAGTAGGGGTGTGCCACCAGAGGAGGCCGCCGAGGAAGGCTACACTGATTACCTGGAAAATTCTCAGCTTGTTGAAGGCTTCGAATCGCCTTTCTCGGACCCCTCTCTGGAGTAGCACCTTGAATTGATGCCACCAACTTGTACACCACTGTTCTGATTTGTAATTTTCTGCATTTCTTTCAGAATCAATTCTCTGTTCATCTGAAAATTGAAAATCAGAAAGAAAAAGGGAATAGTAATTACTTGAATTTGTTTCTTTTGTATAATTGTAGTTATTCACATCTGAATTGCAGAGTTCAGTTTTCAGTCTTGGGCAAATGTTGTTTTCGTAAGCAGAAAGAAGAGTTTCCCTCACTGATTTCTGTTCTTGCTCTGTTTCCTCACCTTGCTCTGAGTTTTTGAAATCTGGACTGATTCCTGCAACATTTTTTTAAAAAAATTTAGTTTAATTTGTTGGAAATGTAGAGAATACTTAAGCAAGAATCTGAATTACCATTGGCAAGATCGAGTAAGAGATCGGCGGGATTGATGGTGAGGGATGTTGAGAACCCAATGGAGGAGAAGTATTCCAGGGCAGAGGATGCAGGGCCGTAGTAGATGGGGCAGCCTTCAGAGAGTAGGACAACTTTGTCAAACATGTGGTAGAGTCGACTTGATGGCTGGTGAATGGTGGTGACGACAGTTCTGCCGCCAGCGGCAAGGCGTTTGATGGTGGTCAGTATCCGTTGAGCGGTGGTGGAGTCGAGACCGGAGGTGGGTTCATCTAGCAATAGTAAGCTGGGGTTTATCAACATTTCCTGGCCTATACTCACTCTCTTTTTCTCCCCTCCTGAAATTCCCCTGAAAAGCGGCCCCCCAATCATGCTGTCCCTGCACCGGTTAAGTCCCAGCTCGGCGATTACTCTCTCCACGTGCTGGACTTTCTCATCCCGGCCCAAGCTGTTGGGCAGCCTTAACAGGGCAGTAAACAGAAGCGTCTCGGTGACAGTCAGGTGCGGGTACAGGACATCATCCTGAGCAACAAATCCTGTTCTTCGCTTTATGGCGCCAGAAAACGGGTGCCCATTGTACGTTATCTTCCCGAATAACCTGCCACCAAGGCGGCCGCCGAGGGCGGTGAGAAGTGTGGTTTTGCCACTCCCGGACGGACCAAGCATTGCAAGAATTTCGCCCGGGAAAACCACACCCGATACCCCATTCAGTATGGTCTTTTCTCTGGCTTTCCATGTTCCCCAACATAATCCTTCCTGCTGCTCCAATTTAACTTTGTACACAACCTCCTCAAACTGCAGTAATATGAAAACCAAGAAATTAATAATTAGACAAGCTAATTAGAGTAATAAAATAAATTTTTTTACAGCTTTTTGAAGGGGAAAAACCTTCAAAGTTACAGGATACGGGCCAAGTTTAGGGGGAGGCTGGGAATTGGGTGGCAATGGGAAGGCAAGGACGGTCTCAGTCATCTCCAGCGAGCCTTCCACTGCTCCGGTGCTGCTGTATTCTGGTTTTGGTACTACACAATTAAGTGGCATGGCTAAAAAGAAATGATGTTGGTGGTGGTGGAGATAAGGGGAAGGGAGAAGTTAAGGAAGTTGAGTCTTTTTAACTTGTCTTCCCCCAAAGTGAACTGGAGAGCACCAAAATATATAGCAGGGAGAAAATGAATTATGGTGGTATCCCACCTATTCTTTTCCCCTTAAATTATTCTAACACTAACTGCAAACAAGCAATTTTGCTAATCTCTTCACTTAGTTCTCTTTTTATCAGCATCTTGATCTAAATTCCATCTTTCCTTTGGTGACCTTGGATGCATGGGATTTCTGTGCAATCCACAGCTGAGAGATCACATCATAACAAGTGAAAAATGGGGCAAGTCAATATATGTACTTTTCATGAGCTGGGGGTTGAGGAAGACTGCCAAAAGAAGTAATGGTTTTGCCCTTTTGGGCCAAAGTGAGCAACTTGTTTTTGGAGCCTTATTGTTTTTGTTTCTTTTTAAGTGCTTCCACCAAGTCACACCATCTAAATATAGAATTTTCTTAAGAGGTATGTTTGCTGTTGAGTTTGTAGTTGGTAGGAACTAGTGGTAGTTATTGGTCTTACAATTTGCACCGGTTCGGCTCCACACCAAAGGATCACTATGCCCTAAGTCAGCAAGTGCCTAATTAACCCTAAACTCAAAATTAAAGTCTTGCTTTTAAGAAAGGTAACAACTCAAAAAACAATGACATGTAAAAAAGATTACTCCAAAAACGCAAAGGTAGAATTCAAGTATGAAATCTCAAGAATTTAGTGTTTTAATTGAATTCATCTTAAATTGTATTTCAACAATGTAAAAGATAATGAATGCATGTGAATTCATTGGGATTGTTGGTTCAAGTGGTAAAAATAGATTCAAACGTGCGTAAAAATGCAGGTTTAAGTCTTTTAAACACATAAAATTAAGATAATGAATGATGTGAAAATTAGACAAAATATATCTCTTCTTCGAAAGATGGGAAGAAGTTGGTGTAATTTCATAGCATTTCCTAGCTTTTCTTTCTTAGGACGGTAACATGAGTGAAGTTCCATGTATTTTGGGAACAAACAACAACTACCTGTTAATGATCAAATCATCAAGTTTGTAACAGAAACGCACAAAAAAAAAAAAAAATGAAATGGAGCATTAAAACATTTGACCTATCGAACATCATGCCATATGTCAAAAAAAAAAAAAAAATGAAAAACCACTTCATCGTCTTACCTATTCTACATTTTTCCATTTCATTAATTAATTTCCTTTCTGTATCTCCAAAGTTTGCCTTCTCTTTTTCCTCTTTCAGCAAAACTCCATTTTCACGACTTAATATCTGTTGAATTCAGTTGTTGCGTTATGTTCACGCCGCGGGGGATATCCATTCGTTTTGTTGGCGGAGAATTTTTTGCTTTCATAGGAGATCAGGAAATTCAGCCGAACACTGAGGTGAATTTGAAATATTTGTTTAAGATTTAAAGCAGGCGACAGTAAAAGCCACAACTTATTCTTTTGTTCTTCCCTACAGTATCTGCTAGTTTTCTACTGTGGCTTTTTAACATTCGCATCACCGAAATTCGATATATAGGACACTTAAGATTAACTGTAGTGGTCGGTATTTCATTATCCATACTTTATCGTGTATAGACCCTTCTGGTCGGCTACTTACAAAATATATTGTATGTTTGTATTCTGCACTAGAGAGACTTTGTTTGGCCCATATATGTCGGCAGTGCGCCTTTCCCTTAGCCCTACGGTCAAGGGTGCAAGTGCCTCCCTGCCTCGCGCCCTCCCCCACCCACAGTCGTTGGAAACAATACATATATCATGTTTTGCCTCGCAATGTTATAATGTATATGCACAGTGTCAATGAAGACTAAACACATGCGGTCTCACGGGATCATTTGTTGTTATCATCACTGGCAAGTGACAACCAAGTTTTTTGAGGAGGAACTAGGATATGGTGTGGTTAGGTTAATTTCCAAGGCACGCTTGTGGTTATACGACCAAGGGCTATGAGGTTTTTGATGTGCGCATGCAAAGTAGATAAGTGGCAGTGCTTATCCAGAGTCTAGAATTTGTCTCTAGCTTGACACTCTCTGATGCTCAAAGTAATATATGGATTCACGAAGGAAAACTCATGTGTGTAGGTAATTAAGTGGAGAATTGGAGTACAGCTAGAGGAAGAATATAAAGATACTTAGTAGACAGATATATTATATAATAAGTATATGTATGAGAGATAATGAGTCGAAGATATTCAATAAAAATTAACTAAATCATAGTTGATACTTTGATTACTTTTCAATTAGTATATGTTAATAAAAATTAACAACTTAAATAATTTGATGGTTATTTCTTTTTGCTAGAAATAAGATATCTTAAATTCGAGTTGCATAACATACAAATGAAGTGTAATAATGAATGAAATAAGGGATGAAAGACGATTGTTTTTTGTTGTGCAACCAAGATAAAAAAATATATATGTTAATAAAAATTAACAACTTAAATAATTAAATGGTTATCTCTTTTTGCTAAAAATAAAATATCTTAAATTCGAGTCGCATAACATGTGAATGAAGTGTAACAAGAGATGAAATAAGAGATGAAAGACGATTGTTTTTTGTTGTGCAACCAAAATAAAAAAATATATATATGTTAATAAAAAACAATCAATTAATAATTAATCCTTTAAAAAGAATCTTAACAAGTAAACCTATAGAGTCTTATCATGTATCCCGAAATACATCAACGTATT